TCACTGCAACTTCCGTCTCCTGTGTAAGTGATTCTCCTGCCTCAGCCTCCTGAGTTGCAGGGACTACAGGCACATGACATCACACCTGGCTAATTTTTGTATTTTTAATAATGACAGGATTTTGCCATGTTGGCCAAGCTGGTCTCGAACTCCTGGCCTCAAGTGATCTGCCGCCTCAGCCTCACAAAGTGCTGGGATTACAAGTATTGGCCACCATCCCTGGCCAGGATCAATACTCTTTTAAATGCATATGGTAGAACTGATTTATTTCTTCCTCTACTGTAAGTAATTTCTCATTTCCAGAACTAATTCACCCTGTCACAAATGTACTTGCATACAAAGTTTTTTCAGCATTTGGGATTGTTTTCTTAGTATAAATAAATGAAACCAGAATTATTGGGTGAATGGGCATAGATGATTAAGTCTCTAAATACATAATAGCAGACTGGGCTCTACAAATTTATACTTCTACTTGAAGTATATGAGTGTTCATTTCAATGTACCTCGTTAGCATTTCATATTCTTTTTAAAAGATCTTTGTTAATTAAAAAGGTGAAAAATGGGAACTTAACATTTACTTCTTTAATTCTTGGTTCCCCTGTGTCCATTCATCTATCGGGATCTAAATTTTCTCCTGACTTTTGTACTTCATATTTTAAACATATTAACCCATTACCATATTTGATTTTTCTCTTAAACAACTGATTTCATTTTCAGAAAAGTACATCCTGTGAGCTCTTTTATCACCTTTCAGAATAGAGTGGTGAAAACTGATAAATATATATATATTTTTTGAGACAGAGTCTCATGTCTCACTCTGTCGCCCAGGCTGGAGCGCAGTGACATGATTTTGGCTCACTGCAAACTCCGCCTCCCAGGTTCAAGAGATTCTCCTGCCTCAGCCTCCCAAGTAGCTGGAATTACAGGCATGTGCCACCATGTCCAGCTAATTTTGTATTTTTAGTAGAGACAGGGTTTCGTCATGTTGACCATGATCTGGAATTCCTGACCTCAAATGATCCACCCACCTCGGCCTCCCAAAGTGCTGGGATTACATGCATGAGCCACCACGGCTGGCCACAAACATTCATTTTTGTTTTTCTTAATAAATTTCCAGATTATTTGGTTGGGCGCTATGGCTCACACTTGTAATCCCGGCACTTTGGGAGGCTGAGGCAGGCAGATCCTGAGGTCAGGCGTTCGAGACCAGCCTGGCCAATATGACAAAACCCGTCTCTACTAAAAACATAAAAATTAGCTGGCAGTGGTGGCAGGCACCTGTAATCCCAGCTACTTGGGAGGCTAAGGCAGGAGAACTGCTTGAACCCAGGATGCGGAGGTTGCAAGTGAGCTGAGATCACACCACTGCACTCCGGCCTGGGCGACAACAGCGAGACTCCATCTCAAGAAACAAAAACAAAAACATTCATACCAGTGTCCATCTTCTTTTTTTTTTTTTTTTTTTTTGAGACGG